AACGTGAGATGTGAAAAGATCATTGAATGGGAACAAGAACAAAGAATTGATAGAAGAGCAAAATATAAGAAGGCCCAAGAAGCAAGAAGACAAGATCTGTAAGATAATCTTGGTCATACAAGTACAAGACAAAGAGAAGAAGTGAAAGAGAGTAAAAATAAGAATATTATAGAAATTGTAAAAAATAGGATTAGATATGGGATGAAGTGGTTGGGATTTTGATCCTTGTCAAAACATCGTACAGTAATACACAGTAGTGACCTGTGGGCGATGATGTTAAAAGTTGGAAGGGTTTTCACCTGAACTACGAATGGAGCAATAAATCACTCCTGAAATTGCACTTAGAGTTCTAGATAAATATAAGACTTTAACGAGTAAGTTAGTTAGAGATTTAACTTTAGTGTCACATATATAATGTACAGCTTACAATTGTTTAATAAAGTACATATAACTAGCCTAACAGAGGGTCATATTAAAAAAAAAAAAAAAAAAGAAGACCTTGGTCTTGAACTTTGTCTAATCGAGATAATAAAAGAGAAAGATCTCAGTTTGAACAAATAATAGTTTTTTTATTACCTAAGAACTTGTTGCTTATATCTTATTGATCTTATGAAATTTGATCTATAAGTTAACTCAATTGGAGAAGTGGAGTAGACACGAGGTATCAATTAACTCTTTTAATTACCAATGATATCATTGGAACATATAAGGTGATTAATAGGGACTTGTTTACATTCAACTATTAATGTGTTTTATGTCCACCAATTATATTTTGCAATAAATTGTGTCACTTAAAATTCAGGATCAAACTAAAATAAATAAATTTTCCAAAAAACTAAAAAATTTTGAACAATTATAAGAGGGAAAAAATAGTGAGCAGATATTTTGAAAATATGGCTTAATATTTATTATCTCCCATTATACAAAACCTTTATAAATATATTTCAATATAAAAGACTTTGAGTACTATAATATTAGTTTTTTTTCTTTATAAAACTTTCTTGCTATAGGTAGAAAAGATGTTTTTTGACTTTTTTAGATTGCTGAAAGTTAAGTTTTTGTTTAAAGATAAATATAAACAAAAAAGAAATTTAAAAGTATCTCTTGGAGTAAAATTTAAATTGATTTAGTGATAGTATTAAAACTTTATTAGTAAAAAAATAAAAAATTTTTTGTAAATATCTTTTTTGTGTATAGGTAGAGGATCAGTGAAAAAAGTTTATTTATTATAATGTTATATTAATATTAATATTATATAATAAGTGAATTTATATATTAATAAAAGTAAATATTTTTTTAAAATTCTTTTTATTTAAGAATAATTGAATTTTTCAAATAATATAAAGTTATAAAATATTTAATTAAGCAAATTCTTTTTAAGATAAGATTATTTACTTGCATAAGAATTTTTTGGTAAGTTATAAATTATTTATTTATTTTTTTTTTTAATAATTTAATTTAATAATTTATTATCTTTTGAATAATTTAATATGTTAAACTATAGATAATAATTTTATTAAATAAAATTCTAGTATCAATTTATCAAGAGAATAAAATATTATTTCTTGAATCAGACTTAGAATATTTAGTTAAGACTTTATTTCATTTAATTTGAATGAGTTTAGTAAACTTTTTATATTTTTAAGTAGTATAATACTGTAATTAATAATATATAAAACCAAATTAATTATTATATAAAAGTTTATATAATATTATAAATATTTATTTGATGTTTTAATAAAGATATACTATAATAATATAATTGTGAATTAAAAAAATAATAATTAATTTTAACAATAAAATAAATTTTAAATACTTTATAATTCATCTTTTTTTAAAAAAAAAAAAAATTTTTTTTTGTTATTTTTAAAAAATTTTTTAAGTTTTTAATTAAAAAAAATTTATAAATATATAAAAAAACAATAATTGTGATATTAATATTATTACAATTGTTTTAAGAATAATGATAAGACTTTATTAAATAAATAATTATAAAAACTTTTTATAAATATTTTTTTGTATAGATAATTTAAAAAATCAATAAAAAAATTATTATTATTATTTTTTTTTATTTCAAATAAATAAGATTAAATCAAATTTATGCTAAAGGAAAAAAAATCTTTTTAAATAATCAAGCTTTTATAATGTAAATTGGATTAATAATTGATATTTGATATAATGAAATTGTTTTAAGATATATAATTGAAAAATTCTATTTATCTATTATTATTATTATTATTTTTTAACCCGCAATCATGCCACAATGGCATGTCTTTATTGAAAAATTGAAAATGAATTTACAATATTTTACAGACTTTCACAAAGTGACTAACTCGTCTTTATACAAAAGTACTCTAAGTCAGATTTTGGAGAAAATATTTCACTTCCCTAATAGATTGGTAATAATTTCTATCTACCAGGATCATTGCCAACAGTTTGTCATTGTTTATATATTTATCTATTATTATTTCAAGCCATTTAAAAATTTATAAATAATGAAATTTGAGTTTAAATAATAAAATAATCGATAGATTAAAAAAATTTTTTTTTTTTAAATTTAAAATTAAGAAAACCCATTTTTTTCCTTATAATCACAAATCACAATCAGTATTTTCATTAGAATGGTGATAAAATTGATATCAAGAATCTAATTTCAAAAAAAAATGATAAAAATAAGTTTTTTTATAAAAAATAGAATTTGATATAATTGTTTTTCTAATATAATTATGATAGACCTTATTTATCAAAAACAGGATAATACATTAATAATAATGTCAAATATGATTATGTTATTTTGATTTTCATATCAAAGATTGTTATTTCTTTATTTAGAAACTATAAAAGGGATGTTTTTTTCTTAATAGATGAACTAGGAAAAAGTAGATCTAACTTTGTCGCACAGCGCTCGCCGATTACAGTACATTAATTACCTAATTTGACATCATAGAGCTGAATGAAACTTATTCCATTCGATAAAGTTGTACGTGCGTACGTCCGCTCTACTAATCAAGTCTTCCGATTTGTGGTTAAATATTGTCTTTAAGGAAAGGTTTGACGGTTTTACCTAGTTTTAAATCACGTGCAAGTCGTAAGCTTAGCCAAAACAATCATTGTACTTATTAAACAGGAAATTATGAAAGGGATACACGTGCATAACACTGTCACGTAACACGGCCTCCCAAAATAAACATTTTGAGCTTCCACATGATTCGACGATTTTGAGCAACTCGACTCCGTTTCTCCGCAATCATTCTCCTTTTAATTTTTTCCTTTTGTTGAAAAAAAAGACAGAAAAAAAAGAAAAAAGAAAAAAAAAATACGCTTTATGTTACCTTTAGTCTGTTAGTCTTGTAGGGCTAAAGAGGACCTACAGCGTATATATACTCGAAATAGTAGGCTATATATGTTCTTCGCTCTTCAACATTTTTAAAAATTTTTTTCCTTTTCTTTTTTTTTCTTTTTTCTTTTTTTAAACGTTTGGTTTGCCTCGGAGATTATTCCATTTCGTTTCCTCAGACTGGTATATATAAACATCCTAGTAAAAAAGAGAAGCCTGAGAGTTTTCGTGGCCGTTCATTGGTGAGTTTGCATGACCGTAGATTGTTTATCGATTTGACTTTCCGCATCACTTCTCGAAACTCCAACGCGAAGTTATGAAGTTTATAATATAAAACAGAAGCATATATGACAAAAAATAGATCGACTTATTTCAGTTAAAGTTCTACATTTGATTCACAATATACGTAACGTATTTTGTGTAGAGGGAAGATGAGCCTACCATCTCAAATATCTGGTCTCAAACGGAGAAAAGTTTCAGTGTCTAGTTGTAAGAGTAAGGGTAAGGGAAAGGGCAAGGGACGTGCCAACCCGGTACCCTATTCGACTCCGATTAACTCGCTTGATCTTCCCATGGCGATGAGAATGCCCCAAGAAATACTCAATAACATATTTAACAATCTTGTGGATCATCCTGTTCATTTTACTCGGGTAGCACGGGTCTGTAAGTCATGGCAGCTTGCCGCGGACACGCATCTTTATTGGAGGCATTTGGTTAGAGAGCTTGGGCTGTCGCCACCGAAACCGAAGGCGAAAAAATTCAAGACTTACAAGAAGGTGGTCGAGCGTGATTGGGGAAAATTTTGTAGTCTGTGTTTTCGTGGCCATCGTAATGGACACGAGAGACTGAGTCTTCGTGCGGAAAGGATAGATCTAGTTAAGGTTGCAGAGGCCTACAGAGATTTAAAAACGAATTGGTTCAAAATCTTTAAGGAAGGTAGCATCGATTTTCAAGTCTCCTTTGGTCACGAGTACGAGATATTAGCCAAGCGTGAAAAACGTGAATTCGAAAAATCATCGACCTCTCTCGAGGAACAAAGTGACTTGGAATTTTTGGACGCTGACCAATTTTATCAGAATGTGTCTCTGAAAAATTCGAATGTATCACCGCCATCATCATCATCATCATCATCATCGTCATCGTTGTTTATGAACAACTTACCGCCGCCGGTGTCATCAACAAACAGTTTTTCATCGACATCACCCAGCACTTTCTTATCGGCGTCATCCAACAACTTTCTATCCACATCATCCAACAACTTCTTATCGCCACCACCCAGCAATAACTTTTTAACGACATCACCCAACAACTTTTTATCGACGTCATCGTCCAACAACTTTTTATCGACGTCATCGTCCAACAACTTTTTATCGACGTCATCGTCCAACAACTTTTTATCCTCACCATCTGACAACAACAACTTTTTGCCAATGCCATTGCCCGCTGATAACAGTTTCCCGTCGACATTATCTTCCCACGGAAACCTCTTATTACCATTCCCCGACACCTTTCCTTCAACACTAACGAACCTCAACTTTCCATTACCCATCAACAATTTCACATCACCCGATCCATCTGCAAGCAGCACCTTTTATCACACGGTAAATTCCACGGACTTTCTTATAGACTTTTCCACGAATGAAGTGTATATACCGGATAATAATGAAGCTACCCAAACTAGCTCGAATCAGGATACCACCCCAATTGCCGCCAAATCCGATCAAAATCAAGATTCTATATTTATAAAGCACCACCTTTGTAAAATGTGCAAAATGTATATAGGACAAAGCCTCTGCGAAAGAGCTAACGTGCTCAGGATGTTGATAACCGAACAAAAGTTACCTTACACGAATTTTAGCAAGATCAGTAGGTGCACCGACTATGTGAATCATGGAACCGGTAACCCTGTGGCTATCATTAAATATTTAATTGAAAAAAAATGGTTTTCCGAAAACACCCGTTGCGATGAATACGGGGATGATGACCGGACAGAGGATGTGAGAAGGTCGCTCGCCTTGGATGTATGGATCCGGGAGAAGATAGATAATGGAGTCATCACCTCGCCCAAATATGATCCAGTCGAAGGACGAGTGCCGAAGTCGCTGTGGGTCACGGTGAAGCGGAAGATCGAGGAGTTGCTGTTACAGGTCCCTCTTCAAGCATCAGACGAGGTGTCAGATGACTGGATCGAGATTTTTTATGGCCCGGATGATGAGAACCGACGATCGATAATTTTAATTGATTGACAATCGGCTGATTGGTTAGTTGATTGATCTGATATTATTGTTGATCCGGTCGATGATACCAACACCATATTAATCCGTCGTCAATAATAATAATATTTACCGTGATGATCAATCTGATATCACATGACATTATATACCCTTCAAAAAATTTTTAATTCCTAATGTCAGTCCGTAAAATCTAAAGAAATGAGTAATTATTATTCTTTTTTTTTGAAGGCAAACAGTAATTCTCCTGAACCTTGGAATTTACAATGTTCCAAGTTACGAACTTAACTTAGAAAAATCCATCCGACACCTATCGCCTCCAAAAATGATTACCAATTTTTGGTTTGTTTGTTTTTTTTTTTTCTTTTAATCAAAACTTTTTCACATCAACCATTGTAAGATTCTCTGAAGACTTCAGGGATGTCGGCTATACAACTCACGTGCATGTTACATCAGTATCATTTTCTTTCTATATTTGTAAATAGGACTTTTTTTTTTTCGTGGTGAATTTATATATATATACAGTATATTTCAGCCTTGGTAGAATGAAGTAGCATGCAGGCGTGTGTTGTCAAAAATTTTCCCTGATTTCGGTTATACTTTTAGATCCTCCCAGTAAATTTAATTTTCACATTGTCTTTATGTAAGCTGTTTTTTTCATCTCAACGCCGAAAAAACATTTTACGATAATTTTTTTTTAATAGAATTGTAAAATCAATTCCAACTTTTTTCACCACCAATCTTGAAAAGCGAATCCACAGTTGTATTTTAGGTCACGCTTATACATGTATTATTGTACAAATGCAAGGAGCGATACAAATAAAAAGATCTTCTTTGTTTAAATGGCTGACCGGGATCGCGGTATCAACTTAACGAGTTGTGTCCAAACTTATTCCACTTATTGTTCACCGACCAATCAATTTAGACCATGTACTTAAAGTTTACGGAGGTTTGGTGGGAAGGAAGGGTGAAAAATGGACCGTCGCCCACGGCAAAGAATAGTGTGTGAACTTTCTTTTCTATCCATTCGATCGTTAGGGGACCAATGTGCCGACAGTTTGCCCGACTGTTTATGCCATGGTGAAAGTTTATTCGAACCGATCGGACGAGGCATTCGTTTCTCAGAATCATTAAATTTTTTGTCGATCCACGTGATATTTCACCAGAATTAGTAACGAAAGAAAAATGCTGAAATTAAGAAAACCGGCCAGCGCTTGAAAGGTTGATCGCTACCACATGGATGGATCTACCAATTCACAAAGATGCTTCCAGAAAGAACCGACCGAGAGCCTAATGCGGAATTATTTTGGGATGCACGGTAACCAAATGACTCTCACGACTTAATTCAATTCTGGTTTACTCGAGTGTGCATCCAAGCATCCGAGCGCTCGGTTCATACATTTTCGAGATATAGTGTAAGTGTAACCAACCATCATTACAAAATTTACAGTACGCGGTTAATTTGTTTTAAAGGGAAAAAACAAGAAAAAAAAAATCTCTGTTTCTTTTTTTTTTTTTTCTTTTTATTTAATGATTGCACGAAATTTGGTCATATATTGCGCCCACGTACTTTCGTGACACAAGGTCTTCGGTGAAAGAACCGTCTTCGACCTAAAAATTTTTAGGCGAATGATAAGCGAGGATGTGAGCATCAATGGGTAATATGAATTTCTAAATTTTCTCCACGAATTAGGCTCTGAAAAACGAGAATCCACTATCATTCGGGATCCGGAGCTAGGGGTTGTGACTGTAATACGGAGAACAAAATCAAAATTGGCCTTAGAATTGGGGAGATTTAGGTTTCATTGAATTCAAGCAATCCTGTTAGTGCATGGCACCATTGATGGGGGGTCAATGTCAATGCCTTGTATAATTACAGTAATTGCTCTTATAATTAGGTGCCTAGTTGTAAGCTGTGACAATTAACGATAATATTGGCCCAATCTAGGGTGACCGAAGAGAACCAACCCTCAAATTTTTGGCGCACCATCCACATTGGGTATGTACTTTGAAAGGAAGTTAAATTACACGATAGGTTGTACGTGGTTAAAAATGATGTACACATACATCGCCTACCGACTATCTTGGCAACCAATTGAATTTCGTGACAAATGGAAGTTAAGTAAAAATGTAAAACAATCTGTTTTCCAGAATTGAGCGTGCGCCATATCTATTTTAAATAAACAACGTATATTATGTACACCAATTGATTTTTCCCCTTTCAATCTCGGCTCAGAAGCAATGATTGCTTCTTTGTAAACTCTCTTTCAAAAGGGATTTCAAAAGCTGATGTGGGTTGGAAAAAAATTTTTTTGTACAGTAAAACTTTAAAATAATAAATTAATTTATTATCGTGGACACCGAGAGACCAATGAATGATTGCGCAAGCGTGTTATGCAATGGTACGTATCACGCAAAACAAATTCACATGAGCAAATACTTGAGGAATCATCAGAAACAATATCACCGAGTTAGCATTAAAAAAAAGATGTCACCTTCTTAATATCACTCGTTTTTTTTTTAAAAAAAAAAATCTCAACCATTGGTTCTTAATTTGGGATTCAATTAAAAATTGTGATCCCCGATGAAAAGATTGGCTGATACGAGGATTATTTGTTTATGCGCATACATTTATAATATTTTTTATCATCGTCGATCTGACTGAAACTTATAAATAAATGATTTTGTGCTATATTGTGAGCATTCATATGAGCAAATTTTAAGTTGCATTCAATTCGTCGTCGCAGAGTTTTTCCTCGCTTGCATTGTGCCACAGCCTGTTTAAGATTTGCTCAACCTTAAGTAGAAATTAGGTTTGTAGTTTAAAAAAAGAGTAGCCTGTCTTACAGTATATCGTCAGGTTTATACATCATCGGTCACAGTATCGGGTGTTAAGTTACGGTGCCGAATTTGATTGAAAAATTTCTCGAAAGCAACAAAGATTTTCTTGGTACGGTGTCCAATTGTCGTCATTTCTCTAATACTTCCCTAACCTCTCTAACAAATTCACGCCATCAAAGTAACTGGTTTAAAAATATTGCATATTGCTGGATTAAAAATTATTCGTCACGATAGTCCAAACAAAGTTTCTCATATGTGAGCGAATTATTGCTGTTCCACATGCGAAAATTCAAATGATGATGATTATAATGATAATAATAATAATATAGCAAAACAAAACAAAATAAAATAAAATAAAATAAACAAACGATGCCGTGAATGCCTTTTTTTTTTTTTTTTTTTGCCGATTATCAATAGACCTTTCCCTCTCTCCTTTTTTCTCGCAGTTTGCCACCGTAGTTCTGTGAAGTTGTCAATTGCCAAAATAATCGGGTCGGGAGTCCCGCGGAAAACACCATCATGCTCATGATCGCCCGTCCAGAAGAGTCATGTTTGCGAAAAAAACAAGTATAATTGGTGATGGTTAAATGGCAACAATTAGAACACTACTTTTCTCGTGCACCGCGCTTAAACAGCTCCGTGCGCACCCTCAGGATGATGACCCCATGCCTGAAAAACTGTGTACACGTTTGTATAACAAGTGCATTGTACGCGATGAGCAATGCCCGATTCGGAGCTCACATAAGCTCACAATCGAAATTTGAAATATGAGAAAAAAAAAAAAAAAGAAAAGAAAAGAAAAAACTTAGTACAATATGTGAAACCGCTTATATTAAAAACTTTAATCGGAATTTCTACACAACTTAGATTACCCCTATTACCCTTCATGTAGATCCAATGCCCAAATGATTTATTAGACGATCGAAAAAGTAAGAATTAAATTTCTTGGGGTTGGTAGCACATGTCGCACGGGTTCGATCTGTAGCTGCAAATACTCAAAAAGACTTTACAATTGGTGAACTAGTGATGAGGGTGCGTTGATTCGACTCTCCTTGTGTCTTTTTAATAAGAAAAGTTTTTACACACAGTATAATGAATATCACTACTCTGGTGGATTTAATCTTGTTTATATTTGTTTGCCATACAAATAAAACCCTGCATAATTTTTTTTTCAATGGTGATTAAGGTTCAATTTTAAACGCATCACGAGGTTATCATATGCCGGGGGTTTTGTTTTTGATGCCTGATCAATTATGTTATGTTAATAACAGGACATGCATCTTTAACGAAAGGCGCTCCTCTATCGATTAAGCAGGTTTTTTTTAATAATAGTCTTTGTTATATTTTATAATTTGCAAAGCTACACTAATTATAATTAAGAAATTTGTCGAACTGACAGTGATCAAAAAAACCAGTTTTAGATATGATCATAAACTTGTTTTTCTCAAAGTGTAAAACACTTGACTGACATAATATGTATTACCGTGATGATCGACAAACGTTTTTATATACAATCGGTATATCATATACTGCATTTGGATTTCATGTCAAGCACCGCACCATGTCAACCGAAAAATGTTCAGTATATCAAATAAAAATTTAAATCCAAACAAATACGAAACTTTGAAAGGTTTGTGAAAGTTTTTATTTGTGAGTTTGACTTGATATCAAAAGTCGCAACAACAACAACAAAAAAGAATTCTCATCGTGATGAGTCTTGGCATTTCTTTCTTTATTATATGAAAAAAATTTTCTTCTATCTAAATTAAGTTAAGTCTATCAATTTTAGAAAATAACAAAAGTTGAAGAAACAATTTTATTGATAATGCATATGTCTTATAAAGATGTGGATCAAGTCATTTTGTTAAACAAAAAAACTTGGTTGTTTACTGATCTTTAAATATTGCGATTCTCAAATCCCTCGTTGCACGAGCTTTTATTTATCTGAAAAGTCAATTAAATTAAAAATCTGCTACATTTTTTAATTGTTTGGATATTCTGTTTAATTATTTGACATACTGTATATGACGGTGTACAAGAAAGTTTTTGAAATATGGTAAAATTAATACTTGCATTTATTTAATCTTTGAATTACACAAAAATTTACAAAATATACAGTATATACGGTATATATTTTAACCTGAAATCAGGTCCCTCTGGCATGTTGGTAACTAATATACTTACTTAGACATGTAACAAAAAAAATGAAAAGATAAAATTAAATGAATAAATCAATACCTTTTCAAAAGGTTCATTATCAAAATCATCATAATTCTTAAATCTAAAAAGAATATATACGATCACAATCACCACAAAAAAAAAAGTATTAAAAATTTTTTTTACATGATTAATAATATTTTTGCAATATATTATTATAATTAATAAAAGCTTGTTTGCATTTTAAAAATCAATATACAGTATTTTTATATCAATTATTTACTTTTCATAAGAATCCTATTGTTAAAAGTTTAAGATCAAATAAAATTCTTTAAAAAATCATGAAAATAGAAATTTTTAAAAAATATAAACATTTGATTAAAAAAAAAATAAATCCTATTATCATATCAAACATTTGCAATAATTTATTTTTAAAATAAATATAGTTTTAGATATTTTATAATAAAATTTTTTATGCGTTATTAAAAAATCAGTTAATGATTTATTATGCTTTATTGAATATTTGTATATAATTTTTAATAAAACATTTTATCATTTAATATTTATGTTAGTTTCTTATATTTTTTTTTTTCAAAAATTTCTTCTTATTACTAACTATTACATAATCTATAATGATTATTAATAAAAGATATTAAAAATTTTTTTATTCATCTAATTAAAATTTAAATTTATAATATATGAATAATTATTTTGAAAGTGACAAAAATGTAATAATAGATTTTGAGTTCCTATTTTTTTGAATAATACATATATAACATAAATTCCAGGAGTACAATTATAAAATTTAAAAAATCCCTGTCTGCCTTGCCTTCGAAAATAATTGCCCATATTTTGAACCAATAATAAAAAAATTTTCTTGAGTTGAAATATTTATAATTTTTTTAATATCATTTTGAATGTTGGTATTTGATTTTTAATAAAAAAAAATCACTAAATTTATATTAAATAAAAATATTCATAAATTTATATTAGATAAAAATAATCATAAAT